CGGGTGACGTATGTGACTGGCGGCTACGGTCCTTTTTGTTTGTGTGGCCTTCATTACTATGTTCTGCGTTCGCATTATCATTGTTTATTTAGAGCTACACGTGGCAGTTACTCCAAGGCCTCGCCTATTGTCACTCGCATCGAGTACTGCATCGTGATCTGAAGCCTCAGAATCTATTGATCGACCATCTTGGACACATAAAGCTTGCTGACTTTGGGCTCGCGCGCCTGTTTGCTTTACCTATGAGGAGCTACACTCACGAGGTACTGGTTTCCATTTGGGCTGTTCGTTCTTTGTTTGGAATAAATTTCATACAAGTTGTATTCAATGTATGAAAAATTCTTCCAGTTCAGTTGTTATGTGCTCGAAGATTGAGCATTTCGTTTATGCGTTTGTGGTGATACTGAAAACTGATAAATGTATAAATATACGATTTATGCGTATACAACGCAAGCAGATTGGTCGATCATGTGATTAACTAGTACCGACGTTTCTGCATGTCTCTGACGGGCCTTCTTCAGGGTTAACAGAGTTGATTTCCGCAGCTAAAGGAGGATAAATCCAAATGTCACAACAGGTGCGGACCACAGAACGAACTGCAGAATTCAATCCTGTTCACCCTGAAGAAGGGCCCGTGAAAGGCGAACCGAAACGTCGGTACTGATTAATCACCAGAATGGCCAACTTGCTGACGTTGGGTGGTTAATAAACCGTGTTTTACGTTCTTTAGCATTATGGTTGTGTGCACGAAAATTGAGAGTTTGTTGAAGAATAAACGTTTTGGATAACCTCGCACTGTCTGTTGTCAGGGCTGGTAATAAGCAGTATCAGAAACGTGGCGCCGCAGCCTGGAAAAAAGTCCATTTTATTCAAAATAACGAGAATAATTTGACACGGATCGACATAAACCGAAGTGCAGATATCCGTTAGAGTCTTGGTGTACCGCCGCTGCTTCTCCAGAATGAGAAATCACAGCTTCAATGGCTTGAGCACGTCGTGCTTTCAGAAAGGAAGGCGAAGCAGTTTCTACTTGTTCAATCGACCGGCCGAAGAGCTCAAGAACGGCCAAGAATAGCATGGGTGAAGAAATGTATAGAATGACTGCTCCAGATTTGGGTTATCCTCTGCCGAGGCTCAAACGCTGGCACAGGATCGGGAACGTTGGTAGTACCGTCTGATACATCTACCTCCGCTACCAGAAGAATAAGCGATAATCGCAACTGACTGACAGAACTCAAAAGCTTCAATCACCACAGAAGTTAAGATATGGAACGATCATTAAGGCAAACCGTTTGTTATGCTGCTTTACGTTTGACGTCAACAGTTTCTACATTATGCTGTGAAATATTCCATAAATTGGCGCGGTCGTCTAAGATGTGCCCATTGTAGAACTAAGAACTGGCGTGCAGTTAGTCAAGGGTGACAAAACAGATGAGTAAAGCTAGATTTAATGATAATTCAGACTGGCTCAAACTGTAGTATGAGTAACTACGCAACTAAATTTTGTTATAGTCATTCAAAATATTGCAAATGGCAAATATTTACAAATCACTAGATTGTTTTCGCGCTGCTCCCTCGTTCTAGCAGCCTATGATATCCTTTAAACGAACTACGGTTCTATGGTCTTCGTTTCTTGAATGCGAAATTTCGTTTTATGAATGCAAGACCATAACATTCTCACGTCGAACGACACCCTGTTCGCGGCGCCAACGTAAATTCCCATTTGGGTAAAGATGTGGAAACATTACCTCACAGTGATGAGTTTGCCAGGAAATGTTACTTTTCGTCGCTATCGACAGAAATAATATTTCTTGGTAACGCGACTCGGTAGCTGTTCGACTCACCGAAATGATACGGTTTTGCGTTTGTGCACTGTAGGTGCTATAACAGCATTTGGAGCATGACATTCTTAGGCTATGCCTTACGCACTTCTAGAAGCAAGAAGCATTGCGATTGTGCTTTGTAAACCCAGATAAGCACAGGATTATTATTGGTTAATTTCGATGTAGTATTACAAACCAGTTGTTCAATGTAGTAGGTGTTCATAAAAGAAGTTTTGATGGGTTTAGGCACTGGCATTTCGATTTAAGTGTACAAATAGTTCATTTAAATTAATTAGTTTCTTTTCATTATTTGAATCCTAGTTCAGATTCATGGAGTGCGCGACCACTGTTGAATCCGGAGCAAGGTTCGCAGTGATTCTGCATCTCCAGGTGGCCACTTGTGGGCATGGTCAAGTTTGATGTGATTTTACTCCCGCATTTTGGATAACGAATTCTGTTTTTATGCTGGAGTAGTGGCTTTTCTAGGTGCATTTTGAATATTTTTGATATTGGGTTGAAAGACTTCAGAGAATTGAGCATGGTTATTTATGCGGGAGATTAGCTCCTTGATCTTCATGTTTCTTACGTGACTGCTCGGTATATGAATTTTATCACACAAATTAACAACGTTTAGAACCATTTTTGGCTCGTTATCCGGGAAACTCTACAACGAATCAATTGCTATTCGAAATGCTGGTAATTTTCGTCATAAAATCTATGCGGAGCAATCCCGTAAGAAACATGCGTATTAAGTATAGGTTGAAAGAACATGGTGATGTTTGAAGCGAGAGGCGTGAATTTAAATAGCATACACTTTACTGATTATTTGAATCATGTAGCAGAGAAGGCTTGATTGGTCAAATTTCAAAATAGGTTTTGTTTTGCTATCAGATTGATTTTTATTGATCATCTGGAATTTTGTTTGTTTAAATCAATTTTTATTGGTAAGCCTTGGTTTCTGTTATGCAATACGATTTCTGTTGTCCATATGTATTTTTGCTGCAGCTGCTAGTTCCCTGCGACTTTGAATTAAATTTAAGTTTACTGCTATGGCAGATATCAGGTATCTGCTTTTAATTGGTTTAAGGAACGGAAGTAATGATAATGCATACAGCAGGAACATGAACGAGGTCACTACGGAGATTTAGAAGATTGACTGTACAACAAAATGAATGAATCAATAGAAGTCGACCTATAATTTGTCCTTAAAGTGTCGGTAACAGTTCTGAGTAAAATTTACATGAACGTAATCGGGCATTCCTGTCAGGTAATATATGGGCATTTTCACGCCACGAGGTGATTACTGAGCGGTGATGAAAGTGCCAGAAAAGTCGCGATGCGTACAGTACATAATCAAATTCGAATCGACTGCAATACGCCCATATAAGATCCAGTAGCAACAGAACATCCTTCTCTTCATTTAGGTAGTGACCTTGTGGTATCGCGCTCCGGAAATTCTGCTTGGTACAAGGTATTACACAGCAGCAGTTGATACTTGGAGCTTGGGTTGCATTTTCGCCGAACTGGTAAGTTTCTTGTGCTTCTTCACCCGAGATGTTGCCATGTTCTATTGTCAGTGCATGAATCGACCGCTGTTCCCGGGTGATTCAGAAATAGACCAGCTGTTTCGTATTTTCCAAGTGTTGGGCACCCCTGATGAGACCATTTGGCCCGGAATCTCACAGCTGTCCGATTACAAGTCGAACTTTCCGTGTTGGAAGCCGGTTTCGTTCCAACGCTTGTTTCCTACAGTGGAGGAAGACGGCAGAGAATTGCTTTCAGTAAGTTTTTCGCTCGTTCTTCGTTTTTGTTCCGTTTATGCTAACCGCGCTTCATTCCCGTCACGATTGCCTATCGTTCCGTTGTCTGTCTCGACTGTCGTTCTAAAATTATTACCAAACTTTTCATTAATTAATTAGGCTCACTTGAGTTATTTAGTTGGTGTTTCAGAGCACGACGTCAGTTCTTCATTTGAGTGCTTTTGTTTACTGCTTAATTGCGTTCGCAAGGCTGGTTGTCAGGTCATTTCTATGTGACAGTATTCTACATCATTCCACATGTTTTCGCATTGTACTGCAATAGCGAGTGTCAGAGACTCGTGAATATTCGAGGAACCACTCAGTTATTCAAAAGTGAAAATCGTTTCCTTGTTAATTTTCACAGCCTCAAGCTGCTGGCAGCAACTTCAGGAATTTTTCCACACTTTCTTCTTACTCCTTCCGCCCATTACGTAATTACCGTGGACTGTATTTTAAGGCGCTGTAATGCCAGATGTTCAGTACAGTCGAACCATCTGGCCGAGAG